GAAAATGCTTATTATCAGCGACACGAGTTCACGTCCCACTTGGACAAGGATCTGCTTATCTCCTATACCCAGCAGCTGTTGCAGCAGTGGATCTATCTCACAACCCCGTGACGCCAAATAAGACGATAAACGCTTATCTTCAGGACAGGACTCTGTGTTCCGGTCGAATGTATGATATTCACTCTGTTCGTGATACGCTTCCTCAGTATCGCTAACGGCCATCTCGGTCACCTGGCCTCCTCATTTCGAGTCAATAACTGGATCACGCCGTGGGTGAACAACAGTGGATATGGGAGAATGCGATGCACAGTGAGGGAGATCGGGAATCATGGACGAACGAATAAGGCTAGTTCAATGAGCAATTAACCTAGAGAATAGAAATAGTCGCTACGACGGCTCCACTTCCGCACGTCGCGCTGTACTAGCGCTCCCTGAGCACGACGGAGGAGGGGAGGGTGCAGGCAAGACTAGTTGATGTAATGCAAAAGGGGGAGGGAGGGCAATGGATACGAAAGAGGAGGGAGGGGTAAACCCTGACCTTGCGCCACTTCACCTTCGGCTGCGAGCGGGATGGGCGGCAATCCAGCAGGGTGTAAAGAGAAAGGGGGCGGGAGACACCCACCCCCTGTTACACTACCCACGTGACATAACAGCGAGATGCAGAAGCAGGAAAAGTTCGGCAACGTCGCGCGAAGACGCCGGCTAAAAACAGATCCGGCATCCAGCATCTCCCATACGGGGGAGGGGGGGCCTGGACCAACGTTGTCAGTACAGGGAATGTTTACATATGGTTCACTCATTAACCAGTATTCTGAGGCAGGAGGTTTATACGTACCACAAGATGTAAAAAGTATGAGCCTTGTCGGGGCTACTTCACATTAACCACGGACTAAAATCCAGAATCTCTGTATGAGATGTCATCAAGGCGATTCTGACCTGCAATCTCTGGACAGACCAACGTATTCAACTGAATAATGCAACGACACCCTGGAAGAATATTTATTTTACATCCCGTACATATCCCACATCATAAATTCATTAAAAAAAGGCCTCATTTTGTTTGAAAAAAAAATATAAAATGAAACCAAAATTCACGCTGAAATACAAGAACGGTTCTGAGCAGCTGTACATACCGCTCTAACTGGAACGTACAGACATAACCTGTGCTGATTTATACACTCTCTTAGATGCTGAAATACAATCTGCTGACTATGCATAGCTGGAGCCACGCTGACCTGCAGAGTTACCAAATGGAAATTTCGCGCGTAATTTCATACATGCACAACACACGCGCCTTACATATATGAAATACATAACCCATACTGTACAATACTGGCGCAACTTTCCTTTGCCTATGAATACAACACATAACCCTTTAAAGCCGAATGGTTACTACATGTACCACCTGCTTTAACCCACAAAAACTCTGAAGTCTGTTCACAGGGTGCATCTGTGTGTTTCCTATGGTTCTTTCAATAATTATCGACTGTTTCCCTAAACAGCATTAACTGGCTGGGCTTTGTAAGGGGGATGTAATGTGTTTCCTGTGAGGTACAAACAGAGTTTTTATGTATTATTTTAAGCAAATTCAGTCTTTAAATGGTTTATAACGGCACAGTTTTTACAAAAATTTTTTATTATATTTTATATTATATATTATATTATATTTTATAATATATTTTACAAAAAGAATGTTCCACAGCGTAAAATAAATTATATTGTTTGAACACTAAGTTTTACTATTGGCTGTTTTATGGTAGACTGCAACTAGCATAACAAGGCTCTCGCACATTTTATTTAGATGGCTAAATTCCTCTTAAAACAGGGTGTACGATGCAAAAATAAATCGACCAAATTGGGAAGGGGAAGGAGAGACATCCAGGAATTAAGTCTATATGTCTACACAAATTTTTGTGTACCTTATACAATTAGACTTCAGTCTTGGTAGTATAATAATATTGATTTTTTCTCATTTAGGCAATGCCAAGTTCAATCTACTATCATGAAATGCTAGATACACTGGGAAGTCTCTTAAAGCTACATAACACAATCTAACTCTGTTTCTATTAGAAACTTTAACAGCGTCAAAATTTATCTGTACTCCACAAGATGCATACAGGTATAGCTCTCCATAATGCATGGTATACTGAATAATAAATTAATAAGCAGAAAGAAAATGCCAAATAAATTACCTAATTAATCATTAACTTAATAATAATTATAACAATCATTACATTAAGGTGCATCAAATGTTTAACCCTAAAATCCATTTGAAAATTTAGTTTTTCTCACTTACTGATTACACATCACAACAGTGTAATGATTCTTATGGGAGCCTATAGAGTTCCCAAACCAAGCTCATTTCTCACATCCTTTCCCTGGGCTCTCTGAAATATTCTCTCCTTGCCGAGCAGAAACCTCCCTTCAAACATTTTATAAGCTATTAAACTCACTGACTGGAAACAGGGGGCTCTTTCTCCGGGGGTAATATGACTGGGGTGTGAAGATGACCATTCACCTCCAGCTAGTGCAGAGGACAAGAAAACTGTTCCATATATCTTCATTGCACAGTGCTTAATTTGTGAAGTAAAGGGAAACCATTAACTTTTATTAAACTCACTGTTGTATTATCAGATATAAACAAACTGGTAAACAAAATCTACAAATTTCCATCTATTCGTAAATTCGGTTTAATGGTATCAAAGTGCAGAATGTAGATTAATAAATAAACATTAATTTTTTAACTCTTATAGTTAACATTCAATAAGAAAGATATATGAAATGCTGGGAAGCGAGTTCTAAACATTTGAGTATGTGAATGCCTGAGAGCACAGAACTAGTACTGTCATATTTTTGTATCTACATCACACACTGATTCACACTACAAACTTGGGCAAAATGCTGATGCAATGCTACGTTATGATTAATTTTTAAGTGATGTTGTCAAAATAATCACTGTTGTACATTGTGTATGTTATTTAGACTGGCATGAAGTAAGTTACCTTGAGTACAATCACCCAACACGATTTTATCTTAAAAACTGATCACTCGCTCACTCATGGAGCTGAGCCCTTCTTGAGAAGCTGCCAACTGTGCACCTACTCAAGAACTTCCCAGCATTTTATGGTACCCAAACGTTCATTACCGTGCTCACAAGAGCTCTCTACTGGCCCCTATTACATATAAAATTACAAAATGTAATCAAAGACAGAAGCTACAATAGTTTTGAGCATATAACACAACTGGAACAGAAATTAAGTTAACACCCACCCTTTAAAATAAACAATAACAATAAATTTCTTATACTTCTTTTTATGACAGTGCCCTGGTATCAGATTTCCAGCTATTAATAGAAAGGAGTATCAAAATTATCCTAAGCCTTTTCTAAAATAACTGATAACACAGGCAATATTTTCTCTATTCCATTATCGAAAATCTGTATTTATACTCGAATTTAGCACCGCTCACAAAGATTTTCACACATTTTTGTGTGAAACATGCTAAGTAAAATCATATCACATCAAATCACACCAATTCATAGAGAAGCTCCTACTACTATGTAAATGCAAAATTAACCGGGCAGTTCTTATAAAATATGTAATATGAAACAAGTAAAAGCACTGATGTATAGTCAACAAAGAAAATTGTTTATAGGCTACATCCTGAAACACTCCAGCCACATGTAACACTTTCTGCGTGATATGCTAAAAATATTAATATATTACGGGCCCAATTTTACATTTCAAACACCTTCAGCCAAACTGTCAAAACAATTTGCAAACTGAGGCCTCCAGAAGTTAGTATGCATGGATACCAACACCCAGTAATCAATAACAATGGTACAAGCATTTCACAAATATTAACAATTCCTTATGGCAGGCAAAGAATTAAAATTATGTTGAAAAAATATCTACAAAAAACTCACCTTCACCCATCCTCCATGAGCAGTGACGAGTACATACAGAAGATAGAGGTCTATTTCACGGCCATTTATCTTAGGGACTTTACGAAATGGTGTCCTAAAAGCCAAGAATAAAAATATCATTTTATTAGTACCTAAATACAAACCAGTTAGAATAAATCTGTTTAACTCTAAACTTGTCACAAGCCAAAACAAACTGGAACTTACCCACGGGTTTCGTGGAAGTGCTGTAAGTCTCGTATAAAACCATCACGTTCCCGTTGGTATGTGACTGGATCCTTGTTGAGAATTTTGGCCATATTAACACGAAATCACTGTTGTTTACTGCACCACACGTGTCCCAGCGACGCATTTATACTTTGAGAGGTCCGATACGCGTGACGCGGACATCGGGAAGAGTAGATTCACCACAGAAAGACAGCAGTTGGGCCCCAACCGACGAAGTGTATTGTTCGACTCCGCACAAGTAGGCTAGACTCACTTTCCAACTCCCTGTGTTCTCTCGACGTTGCAACTCACTTGTGACCGTAATAATGCGCAGAACACTAGGAGCAGCTGAACAGTAAATGTTTCAGTTACAATCATTAAACACCCAGTTTCTTGAAACTGTAATAATTTCCAAATGTACTCCGTTAAAACACATACCGGCGTTCATAAGACCAACTTCAACGCTTTTCTCACAGTGTTTAATGTCACTCCCGATCAAAATGGCGTCGGCCATTAGCACAGAGTTGTATTATATATCCGGAATTACTTAGTGAACCACACGTCATAGAAGCAGGAGACGCTATGTAGGATGTAAACAATCAGGATACATTATAAAACTAAAACTACATTTTAACACCAAAACCAAAGAAGTTCATGATTCATTTGCTGCTGAAACGTTGACTCCCTTTCGTAAATTGTAAATATGTTTCACTGACCCATCACAGATGTCGCTAGTAACCGAAGGAGGAATGGTTTGTACTAGTGTTTTCATAAAAATCGCGTTTGGAGAGGTTAAGAGTGGAAGTGTAACTTGAAAGATTGCATAATATGAGTGTTATAAATCCTCATCTCTGCTTTCTCGAACGTAATTATCTGATTGCATAATAAGAAACGGATCTCATATTGAACGGAAGTAATATTCCCAGCACGATAATGAAAAACCATTAAGACTGGTATTGTGGGACTTCGGAAGCCAGGGGAAGCGGGGCCAATGCTACCAGTCCATTTCCTGCATCCCGAAGTTCTAAGTCGTACACGTGGTAACTTGTAATTATACATGTAGCTGCTTTATAGTTAAAGGGGAATTATGACTTACAAGAGGAAGAAGTACCATTATGGTGATACACATCTAAGGAAGAGATGGCGAACAAAACGAAGAAAGAAAGATTTAGATGAAGTAAGCGTCGTATAACCTCCCAAGATTTCTAAATTTCTTCAAGTCACACATTTATGATTTCGATAGAGAGCACACGTTGTTAACCATGCTTAATGGTTCATTTGATTGTATAGTATTGTATTAACAGATGAGGTTATATTGCTTTGGAATTTGTATTTTAGGTTACGTACGTAGCAAGCGCAATATTCTACGGTATAACAGTATTACTAACGATGGTAACGTACGCACTGAAACTTGTCAACTGTACCCATAATATATATATATATATATATATATATATATATAGTTAATGTTAGATAATCTTGTTCTAGAATAGTATATAATCTGTGAAATATTCGGACATACCAGATCTTAAAATCTATTATATAAGCAGCAGGGAAACTGTTCCAAATTGAACAGTGCATAAGCCCCAAGAGCGATTTCATGTTTGAAAAATATCTGTGAAATTGTCATTTGCGAGGTTAAGTAAAATTTGCTACTTGAAGAGCCCACTTGACTAGTTGCGCCCTACTAAGATCACATCTTTCAGTACAGTGTTAATTTTTCCAGATCGATGAAGACTTGAAAGAAGAAAATGCAGAAAAGTTACTGAATCAGGAAATTGATTTAGATAAACCAGGAAATGCCCAGTTTTACTGCCTGCATTGTGCGTAAGTTCTTCATAAACATACAATTTAATCTTTACTTGTAAATAATGATTTAACAAAATATGTCAATAAATATCTTGGCTTCAGGATGATGACTTTTCTCACTTGTCTGTATCAATTACCCAAATTTAATAATAGGATTTTCTGTTATACTCAGGTTCATTAGACTTTCTTTTGTCAATTAAGAATAACCTACAAGTATATTTATATTTATATGTGAAAGAAATAGTTTTATACAAATATGTGTTATCTGTATGTTACAGTGTTCTCATGCTATAGTAGGTTTAATGTAGTTGCAAAGGTGGCAGCAGTGTGTTTCATACTGTGCCATCTGAATGTAACTTAATTAAATGATTTAAGAGAGAGGAGGGCACAAGAACATATGAAAAGCATAAAGGAAAGGAAGAAATTCTGATAGGCATACCGAACACTGAATGTAGCAATCAACTGCTGAGCATTTTTGCTTTTTTATTCTGGAGGTCTTAGGTTCAAAATCTAGGCCTGAAGACCAGGCACCCTGATATTTTTCATGGTTTTTGTTGGTTCAGTCAGGCAGATGCCAGGAGAGTTCCTCAAATTAGGTCACATCCTTTCTTGTTCATTATTGACCAACCACTTTATCATTCTATGCCATTTAGTCTGAGTGACTGATAACATTGTTAAATAGACCATAAAAAGACACACAGACAGACATAATTCCGCTTAAACAAGCAGCACAGAAAATGGGTACAAAAAAAAAATCTTTACAGTTTTAATTAATCAACTGAGGCCTTGTTATGAGGACTGCCTTCAGCATGTGGCAATTTTATGACCATTCAAGAAATTCTCCACTATGGAAATATCACTACAAAGCCTGTTCCTTTGACCTTATCTTAGCTACTTGATTCCCAGGTCTCATCATAACATACCCTCTGAAGTTTTATTTTGATCTCTTGTACAGTTGAGCTACTAAATAGCTTCGTTCCATATGGCTTTCCATACTAAGATTTAAATTTGTTTTACCCATGGAGATCATATCATCATCATCATCAGTAATCTGTCAAGACGACAGGTCCACAGTCTCTTTCAAAACAATTCCTCCACTTAATGCGATCTAGAGCTTTCTCCTTCAAGTGACAGTATCCTCTTCTGTCCCCAAGGTCATCCAGCATCTTCTTACGTCTTCTTGTCACTTCTATCCACCCATCTATCTTTCCTTCGATAGCTTCTTTTAGAAGGCAGTTTCTGCGTAAAACATGACCAATCCAATTAGCCTTCCGTTTTCTTATTTCATGTAGGATATTCCTCTGCTCACTGACTCTAATTAACACTTCTTCATTTCTCACATAATCGGTCCAACTGATCTTCTCCATCCTTCTCCAACACCACATTTCGAAACTTTCCAGATGTTTCTGATCTACTGCCCTAAGTGTCCATGTTTCAGCCCCATACAGAGCTATGCTCCAAATGTAGCATTTCACTAGTTTCTTCCTCAAATTTAAGTCCAATTTGCTGGTAAAAAGATTCTTCTTCTTGCTAAATGCAGCTTTTGCCATGGCAATCCTGGATTTAATTTCACAAGTACACCTTCCATCATCTGTTAACAAGCTACCCAAATATTTAAAACATTTCACATTCTCCAGTTGTTTTTGGTCTATCTTTATTGTGACTGGGGTTGGTTGTCTCGAAATTTTCATTACTTTTGTTTTCTCCACATTCATTTCCATGCCATAGCACCTTCCAATTTCAATTAGTCTATCAATCATGCCCTGTAGCACAGTTTCTTCCTTAGCCATTAACACAAGGTCATCTGCATATTTCACAGTTTGAATAATTTGCCCTCCTACTTTGAAGTCACCGAGCCCATCCAGAGCTTCCTTGGTAAGGCATTCGCTGTACAAGTTGAACAGAATTGGTGATAAACAGCATCCTTGTCGAACTCCTCTTCCAATCTGCACACTTCCTGTCTCCCCCCTGTCCAGTCGTACTCTAACTTTCTGATCCATGTACAATTTGCTAATCAATCTTCTTTCATGCCAATCGATACCTGTTTCTTTCAGGATCTGCATTAATTTGGTCCAGTTTACCCGGTCAAATGCCTTCTGCCAGTCTATGAAGCAAACACACAGTTCTTCATCTATCTCCAAAGTTCGTTCCGCTATAATTCTCATCATCCCAATTGCATCCCTGGTTCCTTTTCCTCTTCTAAATCCAAACTGATCTTCTCCAAGTACATCCTCTATTTTCCTTTCAATTCTTCTTTTAAGTATCTTTGCTATTATCTTTGCTGTATGTGCAATAAGACTTATTGTGCGATGGTCGCTGCATTTTGTAGCTTTTGTCTTTTTCTTTAAGGCAATCATTGTAACTTCTGTAAAGTCCTTGGGCCACTCTCCACTTTCATATATGGTGTTCATTAGTTTTGTCAGTGTTTTCAAACCACCTTCTCCCAGTAACTTGAGCACATCTCCAGGTACATCATCATCTCCTGTAGCCTTTCCCTTCCTCATTTCCTTGATAGCTTTTTCCACCTCACTTTGTAAAATATATGGTCCTTTCTCGTCTGTATCTACTTCTTCTTCCGGTTCAACTTCTAAGGTTTCTGGCCGATTAGGTCGATCATATAGTTCTGAAATATAATTTTCCCAAATTTTCAGCACTTGCCTCTGATCTACTATTCTATTCCCCTGGGAGTCTTCGATGCCAACATTTTGAATCCCATGATTCTCTTTCCATCCTAGTTCTTTTGTCTTCATGTACATCAAATCATAACGGCCTGTTCTTTGAAATTCCATAATCTCATTACATATCTTCTCAAGATATTCCTTTTTGGCCCTGTCCGTGGCTCTTTTCAATTCATTCCTCAGTCTCCTGTATTTCCTCCTGCCTTCTTCATTGTTGACATTCTTCCATTTCCTTCGCTCCTCCATTTTACTCATCATCTCCTGTGTAACCCATGGTTTTCTTGCTATCTTCTCAACTTTACCTACCAAATCACTGATAGTATCTAACATGCATTCTTTTATATCGTTCCACTGCGCTTCAGCATTTCCGCTTTCACCTTCAATTGCACCGAGTTTCTCTTCTAGAGTCTCTTGCACGCTTTGTCTTTGAGCATATAACTTCTCCAAATCCCATCTGGGTCTGCGCTTTCGAAATCCTATAATTTTCTTCAACCTGGTTCGGAACTTGGCAACCAGCAAGTTGTGGTCAGAGTCAATGTCTGCCCCAGGAAGCGTCTTCACATCCTTCACACTGTTTCTGAATCGATGTTTCACAAGGATGTAGTCCAGCTGATGCCTCTTCCAATCCCCAGGTGCCTTCCATGTGTAAATTCTTCTCTTTGGCTTCTTGAACCAAGTGTTGGTAACAATCAATCCATTTCGTTCACAAAAGTCAATAAGCATTTGACCTCTGTGATTCCGTCTTCCTAGTCCATGTGATCCAACAATATTCTGATATGGTTCATCTCCAACAATGCTGTTCCAGTCTCCCAATATGATGCTGTTTGTGTCTCCTCTTCCATCTTCCTGAAGAATTTCTTCAATTGTGTCATACACTTTTTCCACTTCATCATCTTCATACTCTGATGTTGGCATGTACACTTGTATAATCAGTATATCTACCGGTTCCGCCTTTAACTTCAGAGCAATAATTCTGTCATTACAAGCAATCTTCTTAACAACACTCCTCACTACACTTTTATGCACCACTATTGCCACACCTCTTTCAGCCCGTTCACCTCCGGAATAATACACTGTATAATCACCGCTTCTTATTTCACCTTGTCCTTTCCACCGCACTTCGCTGACACCTAGAACAGACACTTCATTCTTCTGCATTTCCGTTTTCAAATTCTCCAATTTTCCTGCTTGATTCAAGGTCCTGACATTCCATGTTCCAATCTTGTATCCATGCTGTTTCTTCTGATCTTCGCACTTTTTCTTGTTGTAACGCCTGCATGACATTTCCTCTAGAAACACTCCCCCCCGGAGATCCGATTGGGGGAGTAGTTTACCTCCGGATTGTTTTGCCTCCAGAGGAAACATCTCGCATATATGGTATCTCTGTTTTTGGAAAGAGACTATCCAGGAAAAGTGATAATGTGGTAGTTTTTCCATTTGCTTTCCACATCGCAGTACAGCAGCCGTTCAAACCACTCTGGTCACGCCTGCTGCTATACGAACTTGAACCATCTCGAGCATCATTTGCTCTGTGCTTCAAGTGGAGATCATATGTAAGGTTTATTTTAACTACCATGATTTAATTAACTCCAGGGAGCATGGCACTTCCTGAGAAGTTAATAGTGGCTTAGCTAGTCAAGAAACTCCCAGCACATACTGGAACCTGAAGTTCCATTAGTGTTCACAAGAGCCCACCATTGATCCCAGTGTTGGGCCAGATTAATTACCTCTTCCCTGGATATAATTATGAGGGTAAGTCAATAAGTAGGTTACAAATGGATATAGAACTTAAACAAGAGTACTGATTTGAAAAATGCCTTTTATTTCTCAACATAATCTTCCTGTACATTGAGGCACTTGTCCCAGCATTTCACAAGCCCCTGAAAACCAACAGCATAAAATTCTTTTGGCTGCTGTTAGAACCAGATGGTAACTTCCCTTTTTACAGTTTCATCATCAGGAAAATGTTCAGCGAAAGATGATGTTTAAGAGGGCCAAACAAATGCAAGTCACTTGGAGCAAGACTCATCACCTGTGACAATTCAGGCTAGCGTATCGTGTCCTTCATTGTGGTAGCGATTGAGATACTGTAATGCCAGACCCATTCTTTGCATTTTGTGTTGTGGGGTCAGCATGCATGGCACCCATCATGCACAGACTTTGTGAAAACCTAACCTGTCATGAGACTTCCATTTGTTCGGCCATCTTAAACATCATCTTTTGGCTGAACATTTTCCCGACGATGAAGCTGTAGAAATGGAAGTCACCGCCTGGTTCCGACGGCAGCCGAAAGAATTTTATGCTGCTGGTTTTCAGGGGCTTGTGAAACGATGGGACAAGTGCCTCATTGTATAGGGAGATTATGTTGAGAAATAAAAGCATTTTTCAAATCAGTACTCTTATTTGTTTAAGTTCTGTATCCATTTGTAAATTATGTATTGACTTACCTATGTACCTTAACAATATTAGATGATAAATGTAAGTTAGTTGCTAAATAATTTTTCTCATTTTCCAAATATTCAGCAAAAAACATTCTACCTTATTTCATATTTTCTTCTTCAGACGATACTTCATCTCTGAGCAAGCACTGAAAGAACATTTTCGTACAAAGGTCCATAAACGTCGACTGAAAGCCCTGGAATTAGAACCATATACTATTGAGGAGTCCGAGAGGGCAGCAGGAAAAGGAAGTTACCAGCTCCCCAAGAAACGGAAGATTGAAACCCAGACTCTGGTGGATGGAACCATGCAGAAAATTGAAGATGAAGATGTGAAAATGAACTAATTTGTCTGTTCAGTCGCTTCAAACTGTAGATTGTACATTCACAAGTTTCTGAGATACTGGTATGGCTGTTTTCATAAAGTTGGGCAGGTTACCTTTACAGTGCAATAGGGCATTGCCTTATCTGTGTCTGAGAAGTTATGGGTCTGCTCTCTACATGACTGGTGATGAAGCTAAAGACACATTTTCTGTTGTTACTCCACATATTGACATAGAAGCTAGATTTAAAGACATGTCTGCTTTAAAACAAAGTGTTGAGCTTCGAGGAATGCTGGTTGATGTAGATAGTCTAAAAAGTTTCTGGGAGGTCTTAAAAAGTGTGGAAGCAGATAGAATCACATTAGAAAATAGACGTGTTGATATAGCAAAGAAGATAAAAGAAATAAAGAAGGGGAATGATGACGCTGCAAAAGAAACTGAGAAATTAAAATTACAAGGAAAATTATTAAGAGAAGAATTTAAAATAACAACGAAAGCAGTTTGGGAATTACAGAAGAAAGTTATGATCAGGTTTTTGAGTTTACCAAATAATCTGCATCCTGACACTCCAAGTGAAGGAGAGAAGATTGTAAGTCATTCTGGAAACGAGTCAAGTACAAAACAGACCGAAAGTCATATAAGAATAGGAAATAAATTGGATATATTAGACTACGTTAGTCCACTGTGTTATTATCTGAAAGGGGGGGCTGCCATTTTTGAACTGTGTATACTTGATTATTTCACTGAAGAACTTTGCAGGCACAACTTTATTAAATTTTGCAATTCAGATTTTGGGCGAAGTGTAGTGGTAGAGGGTTGTGGACTTGACCATGAGGATTCAGGTGTAACATACATCCTGCAAGATACTAATGATATTCTAAATACAAAAGACACCAATCGTTTACATTTAGTTGGTGGAGCATCACTACCATCTTTCTGTTCTTTTCATGCAAAACAAATTATACCAGTTACTGCACTTCCTTTGAGGTTAGTTGCTATGGGGCGACAGTACAAACCTAGTGCCCACAATCTGGAAGAGACAGATTTCTCAGGATTATTTGGAGTCTGTCAGGCTTCGTCAGTTGAGCTCTTTATATCTACTACAGATTTTCTGAGAAATATGATGGATGAATTTGATAGAACCATGGCAGCAGTGACTGACATATACAAGGAGATGGGGTTCCCTTTTAGAGTTGTTTACCTGCCTGCAAGATCTTTGAGGTCATATGAGAGTTTAAGAGGCAGTTTCCAGATGTATTCATCATACTTAAAGACTTATATAGAGATAGGTCATATTTCTGTTAGTGATGATTACATCAGTAAACGTCTTCTCATACGTTATGAAGCAGAGCCCGAACAGAAATTTACACGAATTGTTTCCGGAACTGTGGTATCTGTACCTAAATTGCTAGGATGTATCCTAGAGTTGCACGATGAAGCCAAAACCTTTGGAAGCATTCCCATGCCAGAATCAGTAAAGCAGTGCTTGTTTTAATCCCACTGATGATTATGGTAATGAAGGTGCTGGTGCATTATTAACCCATATAAGTTACACATCTCTACTCCACAGTTCAACCTTGCCGCCATCTGTGAGCCAATTGTCTACAAAAATGTGGGAAACTCAACATCTCACAACCCTGTGGACCTCGATGGCCTGTTGCAGGGATACCTTTACTTTTTTACTCAGCAGTTGTATTTCATAAAACAAATCAGACACAGTTGTCAATATTTTGGAAGAAGTTGTTGCTTCCATCTTCAGGGTAATTCTCTGAAGATAAAGGCAGCATATTCCTCCAAAACATCAGTACCCATCTACAAAAATACATACCATAATGTCCCAGAAGACCATAATCTTGAGAGTTACCACCATCAGAACCTCAGCTTTCACAGATTTGTCAATATTACTGTATCATCATTAATTGTATTAAATAAAGAAAACTTAAGTAATCATGTCTTATTCTACCCTCACTCATGGAGCTGAGCCCTTCTTGAGAAGCTGCCAATTGTGCAGCTATTCAAGAAATTCTCAGCATTTTATGGAACCTGAATGTTTATTACTGTGTTCACAAGAGCCCTCCACTGGTCCCTATCCTGAGCCAGATCAATCCCATCCTGTCTCTCGAAGATCCATTTTAATATTGTTCACCCCACTGGTCACATTTAATCCTGATGCTCCCAAAGTTGCTTGTAGGTAGTAAGCAATAAAGAAGAGAAAATTTGTAACCAGTTGTCATATGTTATTTAACGAAAAGGTAGTGGCTGTAGAGATTGAAAGAATAACAGTGAGCTGGAAAGGGTGGAAACATTTAGGGCCCAATCTGTTGTTAAAAAACAGTGCACTCACTTGAAAGTATTATGAGAACGAAAAATCTATCAGGATAGCCTATGTCCTAGTTCAGAGTCAAACTTGGTACATCCCAAATACAGTAACTCTTCTGCTCTAGTTGACTTGCCCTTTGTATATTCATTCAGTAGAGAAAAACACTGCATGAAACTAAAATGAAAAATAATACTGGGAGTTTCTTAACGTTACTGACCAGCTGTGAGGTGGATACAAATTTTGTTGACAAGTCAATATGCCTGTTGTTTGATAATGTCTTAGATACAAATTGCAGATCACAGGAGATGATGCAAATACTGTTCCTCTATATATACACATTCCATGTACCAGTGGAAGTTGTTCTAATTTACCTTTTGAAGCTGCTCTGCAGGACTATTTCCAATTTCCCTGCAAATATTTGCTTTTAGTTCTTCCATTCAGGGTTACTGTTGTAAACTTTGTTTTTCCAACAACCACAAAAGAAGAAATCACACGGACTAAGATTGGATGAACATTTTGGCCAAATATCACTGCTGATAATTCTGTCCCAGAAGACATTGGACAAAGCCTGCATAGATGCATAGACATACGTACAGTATGGGCAGTAGCTAAGTCTTGCTGAAACCAGCCAAAGAGTCTTTCTTCTTTTAACTCTGGAAAGAATCTCCCCAGAATGACCTGTACATTTCTTTTGCAATTGTTTTGTTAAAAAAACAGGTCCCTCAATCATTCTTGCACTTACAGCACACCAGACACAAACTTTCACTGTATGGAGGACTTCGTGGGTTAGATATGGATTCTGTGAAATCCAGTAGTGTATCCCTGCAAGTGAAACCATGCTTCATCAGAAATAAATGACAATTACAGATTGATCTCACCTCCAATGACACACTGTAGAAACCCACTGTAAAAATTAACCATGCTAGCTGGATCACATGGCTGCAAGCCATGGATTACTATTGTTTTATAGGGTCTAAGCTTCAGCAATTGTGTTACCCTTATTGTGCTCAACTTTGTCACTCCAGTCTCTTCGAGCTAGATGTTTCAGTGATTTTCTAGGTGTATGTTCAAGTCTGACCCCTATGTCATCTAACTTTTCCTCAGTAAGCACTCAGTGCTTATGTTTTTGTTTCTTGTCTTTTAAGAATCCTGTTGATTTACATTTATTTGCCAAATTGTGATTGTTTGTCAGCTGGGAACTCTGTCATTATGAAATTTATGTCAAAATTTTTGCCAGCCCTTTCTATGAGACCTGTATTTCATGTAGGTTCAAACAAATAAACATTGCTCCAAAGTACACTGCATCATGACGTAACACACTACTGACTAACTGTAACTGTGAATAAATGGCTAAAGGAGCTGTTAACTGCTGCCCACGCGTGAACTGCACTGCTCGCTCTGAAACATAATGCCATCAAGAGGTTCACAAAGTTAATAACTTCCCTTGATTTCAAACATTATCGGCTATCAGGCATACTGATTCATCGGCAGAATTCATGTGTGACTCACGGTTGGTGGTGCACCGGTCAACAAAGGTAAGAATATCCCTGTACTGTTCAAACAGCAACTGACATGCTTCTTGTTGATATTGAAGGCATCATTTAAAAAATCTATTCCTATTTTTACTTGTACACTGTTAGAGTTGGAAATCTTAAAATAATTTTGTGAGTTACTAGATGGAAATCTTCACCCACTGAATTGTTGCCTCTTTTTTTTTTTATTCTAGTGGGGTGGGACTAAGTACCTTGTACTGCGGCCACTTCTGGCCTATTGTACCAGACCCAGATGATAGGTGAGCAATTGGTGGAATGAAGATTGGCAGGGGAAACCAAAGTACTCTGAGAAAACCTGCCCCAACGCCACTTTGTCCACCACAAATCCCACTTGACCAGACCTGGGATCGAATCTAGGCCACCGTGGTGGGAAGCCAGCGACTAACCGCTTGAGCTATGGCTCGACCACTAATTGTTGCCTTGCTGAACCTTGATGATATGGCATTTACATGTGATACATGAGAAAAATTCACATTTTTAATATTAAAATGGTAGCACCCATTATAGGTTCATGTTCAAATCAACTGCTATGTTTTTTCAAAGCTCCTGAGATGTAGGAAATGTTCATGTTATGATGTTATGAAAATTGTATCTGATGATGATTTCTAACACATACTGGAAATAACTTCAATTTTACATAGCGACAACCTTATAAAAACATTCCAATATTCTTAATTTAAACAGCATTTTTATGAAAAATACAAAATAACAAGATTACTGTGCAAACAATATTTTTTATAGAATAACTGTAGCTAAATGAAGTACAATAATGATAAACTGTCAGCTTAAATGGCTGAATATTTGTGTAAATTATTTTATATATATTGAAAAAAGTAAAGCTATCCCTGTGCGTAGTATAAAACTTTGAAGGTATGTTTGATGTTAAAGTACTGGAAGTCCATAGTAGGTGAAATTTTGCAGTGCAGTCTGTTACTGAGTTTTACTATATATGATTGTTAACTTTCTTTGGCTTTTCCCTACAATCATTTAATTATACTGAAACCATTAATTTATTAAATTCATCTTATCCCAATTTATATGGAAGCATTCAGAGGAAAGTGGGTATTATATTGTCATGTGTTCATGGCTCCATGCTAATAATTACAGGTTTTGGGTTGGATGATCGGATTGACAGCTTTTACACAATCACTCATAATCACAATCAATTACAATAACTCCCAATAACTCTTCAGGTGAACTGGGCTCAATTCAGGTCTGGTCTATGATTGGCTTCTGATTTACAACTGCACTGACTGTGACTCACTTCTAATTTACAACTGTACTGACTGACAGTGATTGACTTGGTTCTTATCTGAATGACCGCTTATATAGTGTATCAGTATCACAAGAAATGTTTGTTCATCACTCATATCCATGGACACGCCTGTTGATTCCACGGCAACGAGTTGGTTTCCATGAATCTACATCTTTCATTTTCATACCCCAGGAAACATGTTCAGACTGCCTCTGTGGTCTAGTGGTCAGAATTCCTGGCTACAGATCCTAAGGTCTGGGTTCGATTCCTGGTGCTACCAGATTTTCCGAGAAGTAGTGAGTCTTCAATGGGTTCCACTCAGCCTCATGAGGATAACTGAGGGGCTATTTCAAGGAAATAGCAGCTCCGGTCTAGAAAACCGAAATAAATGGCTGTGGGGACTATTGCGCTGACCATATGACATCCTCTATCCGCAAAAGTGGGCACTAACTTCGCCAATAAGCGGCAGTCGCTCAGTCAGTATAGTTTGCTTGCGGACTAAAACCACAGCTTTTTTGGAAACATGTTCATCAAACGGTTCCCTAGAAATACATCTACATGTCACAATGTGTTTCTCCCCATATCTTGTGTTATGCACTGAACTGAGGTATATTTATTCATGTGTGAACTTAATGTAATGAAATATCAATAGTACAACCATGTATAAATGTGAGTTTTCAAGACATGTTACATGATACCTGTACTTTTAATACCAAGAGTTAAATATTTCTCTGGACTCTTTCAACTGCTCATGAAATTACTTTGAATTTGTTATGTGTATAAAGCTATCTTGGTTTTGATACTGCAAAAATTTTTTGGGAACTGTTCAACCAAGCCTCCTTAAGAAACAGACTCCATATGCAGTAGCAAACAGCTGGTCACTTCTTGGAATATTCATCTAGCACCTTCATAGGGGACACATAAGATTTGTGATGTTAACTGGTGAATATTTAATCTAATTATATGCATGGGGTTCAGCCATTGCTCAGATAGGCAGAAGGTATCTTCTTACCATTATGTCATGCGTTTTAACCCCTGAACAGTTCATGCACAGTTGGGGGAATCCGTATATCTGAGAAGATTGTTCTCTGCAAAATTTTCTGATATGTAAATGAGAACTCTGGAAAACACAATGATCATCCCTGCTTATACAAAGTGAAGCTTGGGAAAAACTTCTTCAGCATTCAAGGTATGACTATCATGTGACCATCTATATTATACCATACATAACTGTTGATGGTTAAGATGTGAATGGACATGTCATGTCTCAGCTCTGGACAAATTTTTGGAGAAAGAAAGTTAAAAGATGCCACACAGAAGGGTATGAATGAATGTCTCACTTGAACTGAACAGATACTGATAGAATTGAACTACTTTCCATTAAAAGAAGAGTTTCTATTATTTCAAAGTCATATTATGTTCTCATATTTGGATCTCTTTGGAATCA